ACGCTTTCGCTACCTGCCCTCTCTTATTTCGGTTGTCTTTGTGCACAGTGCGGCGTGGCGGTGCGCTTACTTGCGGTGTTGATGTGGAGCAGTTGCTGGCATCCTTACAGGTGATTATAGGGCGAATTAGAAGTATAGAGAAACATTAAGACTTTCGGTACATTTCGCTGTTTTTTACCATTAAATTTTTTTTTATTGAGACGGTTCCAGAGTGGCAAGTGGCCTGGTGGATAGCGGGCCTACACAACTTCTTACGCAGACGTTTACGGATGCATCACACGTACAGAGTTAATGCCGCAAACTTGTTTCAACTGTTACTTACCTCACTGCCAATTCACACATACTTGGTCACTAGCTAATCTAATATTATCATCTATCTTAGTCCACATTACATTATATAGAATATAACTTTTTCACCACACACACTATTCAATCAACGATCTATGCAGCACTATAATTTGAAAAACTGACGGATAACGTTATATGCTTGCTCGCGTTGGTAAGTTTACACTTGTACCTCTTGTATCTTTAGTCCTTTCGATTTGAAAATTTGCTTGCCTAACATTGTTCATCGACATGTCATCGGCATTGCATCGTGCATCAACCGGCATTGTTGGAAACAACAGGAGTAGCGTATTAGGTAGGCGTTGGTAGTTTCCCAAAAATGCAGTTGGCCGATGCCACGGATGAATGGTCCGCAATGCATGTCGGAGGAAGATTGCAGCATGCTCACTGATTTAGCAACAGAATTCTTCGAATCGACAATAGTGCCGACAATGGTAAACAGAGTACCAAGCTGTACCTTTTCTTCCAAAACGCGAGCAAGCATATAAAGTTATCCAGTTCCATATATCGTGCCACTCAGATCTGTATTGATAGCCCATTGCTCACTCACACTTGAACAGCGATCGCTCGACACGGATTCGGAGAAATTCCTATTGTTTGCATAGGGCAAGTTGCTCTTGACCTTAACCCACACCAAATCCACCAACATCGTCGCGATCGGTTGTGGGCAGTTGGTACAATAGGCAATCTCGGACTACAAAGTCTTGTGCGCGGCCCGCTTATTTCTGTTCTTTGACATGTACATAAGTTTGCGTGTGGCGCAAATTCTACTAATTGCCATGATATTTTCCTTTGCCCTTTTTTTATAAAAACAGCATGCGTGTACGGACAGGCACAACGCCTCAGCACTGTGAGTGCATACAACCGGGATGTGCTGCAAGACTTCTGCTGTCAATTAGCAGTAAGTGATAACCTCGGCGCAGATTTGGGTTAAACATACTATGTAAATGTTTTAGAAATATGATTTAGAGTAGAATATTATAGGTATCAAGGCATAGCCAAAGATCGTTTACTTGCAGAAAAAAGCGTTCACAAGATAATATATATGATAAGTACACTCCACTTTTTACTGTTGCCAAGTCATCAGCATAGCCCTGCGGCAATCAAGCTTCAGCTAGCCACTAGTACCTTTCGTATGGATAAGCCGATCCCCTTCAAAAGTCATTTTCAAACACTTTCAAATACACAATTTTTAAATCAATTCTTAAACATTTCAAATTACATTAATAAAAATACAAAATACTTCTAATTATTTAGAGAAATTTAATGGCGGAGTTTTTCTGGGGCGGAGCACCCCCCAATACCCCCCGCCCGTTTTCTCACAGCCCTTCCATGAAATCCTGGATCCGGCCACTGTGCGAGCATTAACAATTGGAACACCGCCACTTCAAAAATCGTTTCCGTGGCACCTGCTATACTGCAGCGAGCTTCTGAACGTAGTTTTTGTACATGCATGTTGTTGGCCATTGAGTTTGGGTATTCACACTGCACTAAAGTTCACTTATAATCATGGAATGAAGTCTTTGCTACAAACATTTTCCCTGGGAGGGGAGTCCAGCGACCCCAGACCCCGCCGTCTTTAAAAAGTGGGCCTGTCTGCGGCTATATTTCGCGCGTATAATTTCCGCGCCTGCAAC